CTATGGGCCAGGACTGTGCTAATCACTTCTTACAAATGTTATCTTTGTTTGAGCCTTACAAAAACCCCATGATGTAGGTGTTATTATTATCCCCCTTTTACTATTGAAGAAACAAGCAGAGGTTAAGTGACTTGCCCAGGGTCACACAACTAGTAAGCGTTTGAGGCCACATTTGAACTCAGATTTTCCTGACTCCAGGCCAAGCACTCTATCCGCTGTACCACTAGCTGCTTCAACTATGAAATATAATTACCAAAATATTAAAAAAAAAAACCTAGACACACAGACCTCAGGTTAAGAACATCTGTTCTAACTGAAATTCAACATTTCCTTCAATTATTTAAAAACATTATTTTGAGAAGAGGTCCATAGGGGTCCACCAGGCAGCAAAAAAAAAGGGGTTTGTGATATAACATGATCCAGAGGAAGGCCCTCGGGGCATTGGGTGGTTCCCTTGTGGAAGATTTACAGGAAGAAAAAGATCAGAGTCAAATAGGATTAGAAAGCACAGAGGATTTCCCGTTTGTCCAATTGGAGGAAGTATCCCATCAATGAGATCAGAGATACGTGAAAGTATTAAAGAATATTGAAACATAAATGTACACAAAATTCAAGAAGTATTAATTACATCAACTTCTCTCACTCATAAGATCACAGATTTTGGATTGGAAGGGCTCTGAGAAGTCATCAAATCGATCCCCCTCATTCATACATAAAAGACATGGAGTCCTTCTTCAGCCTCTTCCCCACTAACTACGTGGACTGTAGTACCAGTGTAGACCACCAGGTGGCTCTCTCTAAGCTCAGGCTGCTTCACAACTGCGCATGTGCAGACAGGACCTTGCATCTCAGAGTTGGGCAAACCACTGGGGGCTTCTTAACCAGGGATGTGTGAACTATTTATTTATTTATTTTTGACATTTTGATGATGTAAGCCCTTTGATCAAGAGAGAGCTTGTCCTGATAGGAAAACAATGAGATGCAAAGCACTGCCTCCTCAAAAAAAAAGAAAAAGTCCTCAATTAAATGACGTCTGTGACATCACTCATCCCAATCCCTTGAGCCTTACTCTTTTCCACACTCCCCCTATCTTTGGTGCCTTCAAGATTTGGACAGCACAGGGGAAACCTATCATCTGCACAGTGGGAGACAAGCACAGGATATGGAAGCTGAGGCCCAGAGAAATGAAAGGACAGGCTCAAAGTCACACAGATGTAAGAGGCAGAACCAGGTTTCAAACCCAGGTCTTCTGATTCTAAACCCATCATTCTTTCCATTGTACCACAGTGCCAGTCTCTCACAACCCTTATAGTCACATCTCCAAGGCTGTCAGTGCTTAATTGCTACACCTGATGGCTTTTTCTTAATTCTCATCCTTCTTGACCTCTTTGTAGCATCTGATGCTATTAAACCCCCTTCAGTCTTCTTCTTAGTTATCTTCTCCCTTGTTTTGGGGGATATTGCTCTCCCTTTGTTTTCCTACTACCTGTCTAACTGTTGCTTGTACCCTTTTGCTGGACATCCTTGTCTTTCTGCCTGTTGTTTATCCTTCATTTTCTCGAAGAGGACCATGACATCGGGGAGGTGATGCCACGACATGCATGTGAATTGGATTTAAGTGAAGGAGGGCTGTGCAAGGTCACCAGCCTCACGTTCTCCTCTGGAGTCAACTGTGGGTTAACAGACCCCATCCAGGATGGCACTGATGCAGAAAGACTGGTCCTAGCGAGGAGGCTTCCTGCCTCCTTCCCTTCTCTTGTCTCTCCCTTCCCTGGCTGGGGCCACTTAGAAGCTAATTGAACTGCTCCACTGCTCCCGTGGCTGGGTGAGATGGGAGTCACCAATTGTATTCTTTTGGGTAAGATGGAAGACCACAGGACTTGCCATTGGTCCTGCTTCTGCGTCCTAACGTCCTCCAGGCCTTCCCATCTGCCCTGCCAACCTCCAGTACTGCCGTCTGAAGTTCTGATGTACTCCAAGGGCCCTTGGGCCTTCCCATCTGACTCAGCTCCAGCACTCTGAGGACTTCTGGGGTCTTCCATCTACCCTGCGGCTGAATGTTCTTTTATATGCTGTCTCCCCTAATTAGAGTGGGAGCCCCTTGAGAAGGGGGACTATCTCAATTTTTCTGTTTGTATCCTCACTGAGCAGCACAGTCCTTGGCACATAGTAAATACTTTAAAATGATTCATTCAATTATTCATTCATTCATTCAACAAAATCCTAATAATAATTAATAATAGCTAACATTTACATAATGTTTACTATGTGCCAGGTGCTGTGCTAAGCATTTTACAATTATTATCTCATTTGGGCCTCTCAATAACCCTTCAAGGTAGGTGCTAGTATTATCCCCATTTTATAGATGAGGAAGCTGAGGCAAACAGAGGTTTTTAATTGACTTGCTTAGGGTAAGTGGCTGAGGCCAGATTTCATCTGAGGTTTTCCTGATTCCAGGCCAGAACTCTATCCACTGCATAGTCTAGCTGAATAGAGAAAATGGTTTAGCAAGTATCTGTGAAATAAATTAATGGTGAATGAATGAATGGGCCTGGTATCAATGGAAGTCGATGAATTCAGGCATGCCTGGTGTAGTGGAAAAGATCACCTGCCTTGGACTTAGGAGAGGGCTGGAAAGGACGATGTCCACGGTCTCTTCTACGTCTAGCTTTCCACAATTATATTCTTTCATGAGTCTATACAAAAATGAAAGCATTGGAAGCATTTCCTCCAATGATGCAGACTGCAAGTGACCCATGCCTTTCCTTCCTCTGTGACTCTCATCCATGTCCTCTCACCAGATGATAACAGCAGCTATTATCATCCTCATCAGAGGCACAGTGGGTAGAATGTTGGACCTGGAGTCAGGAAGACCTGAGTTCAAATCCAGCCTCAGACCTATACTAGCTGTGTGACCCTGCACAAGGCATTTAACCCTGTTTGCTTCGGTTTCCTTATCTGTAAAATTAGGGTAATAGGGGCAGCTCGGTGGCACAGTGGATAGAGCACCAGGCCTGGAGTCAGGAAGACCTGAGTTCAAATCCAGCCTCAGACACTCACCAGCTATGTGACCTTGGGCAAATCACTTAACCCTGTTTGCCCCAGTTTCCTCCTTTGTAAAATAAGCTAGAGAAGGAAATGGCAAACCACTCCAGTATCTCTGCTAAGAGAACCCCAAATGGGGTCATGAAGAGTCAAACATGACTGAGATGACTAAACAACAAACAAAAAAAAATGAGGATAATAACAGCATCTGCCTGGCAGGGTTATTGTGAGGAATTGTCCTGGGATCCACCCAATGTCCTGGGAATTGTCCTGGGATCCACCCAATGTCCTGGCAACTTTCCCTAAATTCCCTTGATAGAGGGATGATATCAATGGACCATATGGGCTAGCTTCTCTTATCACATGACCAGCTTTGTCCTCATACACTTCTTTGGTGACAGCTTTTATTTCTCTTTCTCCTCTGTGATTCCTTGTACGGAATGTACCGCAGCTTGCTTACTCCAACTATGCACCTTTCTGCTGCTCCTTGAGAAATCCTCTACTTCAGTTCTTAGGAGACTGCAGTGTTCCATGATCTACAGTCCTACAACATGGCTAGTCTATGATTATAACGATGATAATTCTTTAATATTCAAACCCAGTATCACTTGTTCCATCCTAACATTCAGCCCCCATATTTTTCTTTAAAAATGATTTTTAAGGATAGGGACTAGACCTGGAATTTCATTGGTAAAGGCCACTCCCAGGTGAGGAAATTCCCTCTACTAAAGCCCCTATCTTGTGATTTATAGTCTTAGAGACCTGCTAAGAGCCCTGAGAGGTTAGGTGACTTGTCCAAGGTCACACAGCCAGTATGTCAGAAGCAGGACTTAAACCCCAGTCTTTGTGGTTTGATGTCAGCTCTCCCTTCACTGTGCCTGAGATGATTTTATCAGAGGAAGTGACATTGAAGAATAAGTATTACAGTCTCCTTTGATGCTGCCCTCTAAGGACCTCGGGACCTTCCCATCTGACTTGCAGCTGAAACCTTCCATATGTGTTTTCTCCCCTAATTAGAATGTGTGCTCCTTGAGAGGACGGACTGCTTAGCTTTTCTTTTTGTAGCCTCAACTCTTATTGTGCACTTAATGTATATTTTTTTCATTCATTCACACACTATGCTGCCTCGCATTTTAAAATCTTTTAAAATGTTAATTTTTATTATTATGCACTTGATAAACATCAACCAACATGAAAATTTCTATTTATAAAGAAGCATGGAAGAAAGAGGATTATATATTAAACTTGTTCTGTTGTTTTCAGTCATGTCTGATTCTTTGGGAACCCATTTGGGGTTTTCTTGGCAGAGATACTGGAGTGGTTTGCCATTTTGTTCTCCAGCTCATTTTACAGAGGAGGAAACTGAGGAAAACAGGGTTAAGTGACTTGCCCAGGGTTACACAGCTAAAGTGTCTGAGCCTTGATTTGAACTCAGGAAGATTAGGCTTGTGACTCTAGGTCCAGCACTCTATGCACTATGGCGCCGTCTAGCGGCCCACATATACTAAACAGGGGGTGACTTATGTATAGCATTTAAAAAAGCATGTAGCTATTTCAGCACCGTGGCTCTAAGAGTACCCTGCTTGCCTTTGTCTCTTTTAGAACTCGCTTCTCTTTTCTTCTCATTCTGAAAACGTGCCATTGATTAATTTCTTTTTTTTCCTTTTTTTTTTTTAAGCATCACATCCATTAGCCCTTTGCTCCTATAACTCTCCCCTCACCAGAAAGAGAGGAGGGAGGAAGGGAGGGAGGGAGAGAGAGAAAAGGAGAAGGAAGGAGAGAAGAGTCACACACACACACACACACACACACACACAGAGAAAGGCAGAGACAGAGGGAGACAGAGAGAGAGACAGAGAAAAAGAAACAGAGACAGAAAGAGAGGAGATACAGAAAGAGAGGGAAGGGAGGAGACAGAGATAAAAAGACATGGAGAAAGAGAGAGAGAGAGAAAGAGAGAGATGGAATGTTTCATGAATTTGCATATCATTCCTGAGCAAGGGCCAGGAATCTTTTCTGTATCATTCCACTTATAACCTAAGTGCTGTCAAAGTTAGCATCCCGCATCCTGCTTTTCCCAGGCTCATTCTTTTTACTACTCTTTCCTCAGTCACCTTACTTAGTCTTTCTCTACCTTTATCACAGTTTGTCTGCTTGGATACTGGTAGACCAGAGCAAAACTCTGGTTAGAAGCCAGATGAAAATGTAATTGGGAAATGTTTAACAAAAAAGTAAAAATACAATACATCATAGATAATGTTAATTTGTGGTTTTCTAAGTCAATATTGATCCTCAAGGATCCAGTTCCTATTTGAGTTTGACCCCATTGTGGTAGACCATTGTGGGCAGGAGTTCTTAACCTGGGGTCGTCTTAAAAAAATTTTTTTTTGCACAACTGTATTTCAATAGAATTGGTTTCTTTTGTAATCCTATGTATTTTATTTTATGCTTTTAAAAGCATCCTTTTTCAAAGGGATCCATATATGCTGAACAAAAAAGGTCTAAAACCCCCGACTTAGAGGGATTGCTGGCAGAGATGGTACCATCTCATACCAGAGAGAAGGAGGGTTGAGAGAAGAACTAGGATGTTTGACTATATTTGTGACTTATTTTTAGCCAGGCCTTCATTCTGGCATCTAATTCTACTGCTGTGACCCAGCTAGCTTGGTGGGGTCCACCAGAGATAGCTAGAACCCAGGTGTGAGTGACCCCTTAAGTCCTAAACTTAAGACCTGAGCCTATCTGTTGTTTTCTATCTCATCCTCTATGATTACAGCAGTCTAAGACATATAATCTGTCCTTTGCAATTGGAGGGCTATAGCAGCTATTGTTATCCTCATCCGAGGCAGCTGCGTGCTGGACATTGGGTCACAAAGACCTGAGTTCAAATCCTTCCTCCAATACTTACTAACCGTGTGACCCATAGGCCAAGTGACTACTGCCTCAGTTTCCTAAACTGTAAAATGGAGATAATAACAGCACCTACCCCTCAGGATTGTTGCAAGGATCAAATGAAATAATATTTTAAAGTTATTTGCAAACCTTAAAGTGCCAAATAAATTTGAGTTGTTATAATTGTTATTATATCCCCATGACCATTACCACCTTCTTTTTTCCTTTATATAGTGCATACTCAGCCTTCATTTGGCATCTAGTAACCTGAGGGCCAGAAGGGCCCATGTTTCCTCTTGAACCTGTATGAGAAGCTGTGTGTGTGTGTGTGTGTGTGTGACAGACAGAGAGAGAGAGAGAGAGAGAGGGAAATAGGGCTGAGTATAATGACAGAAGAGAATGTCTACTAGATGTGGGCTGGGGGAATTTCCACATCTTGGCTTTCAATTCAGCTGAGGACAGTACACAGCACAGGCTGACCAGCCGATAGGTGCAGATTCCAGTGGTAGGGAAGGGGTATTGAGTGTCAGAGTGGTTGTGAGTTCTTCCTTTTAGGAAAGGAGATGGCTGCTAGAAATGCTCATTCCCCTTTGGCGCTGATCACTCATTTTGAGTGCTGCTAGCTCTCCATCAATCTCACCCTACATTCCTTAAGTACCTTTTAACAGTTTTGCTTACAGGTACCCTTTAGTACCTGAATATTTATATCTCTCATCTGGAGTGGCAACACAGCTTTCTCCTTGGAAGAACGGAAGGAGAAAGATGGAGAGACAGGGAAGTGGGAGGAGAGGAGAAGAATAGGACAGGAGTGGAGAGGAGGGGGGGTAGAGATTAAGAGATGAAGAAGGGCGGGGTGTAGGGAAAGAAGAGGGAGATAAGAAAGGTGAGGGAAGGAAGGAAGGAGGGAGGGAGGGATAAAGAGAGAGAGAGAAGGGGGAGAGAAGAGGGAAAAAAGGGGGAGAGAAGTATAGAGGTGAGGAGGAGGGGTGTAAGGGAGTGAAAAAGAGAAGGGTCAGAGAATGTAAGAAGAGGAAGAGAGAAAAGGAGAAACATTCCTACTGTCCCCCAGTCCCCAACTTCCCAGTCCTCTGCCCCTGCTCTCAAATTTACAAGACTCAGAAAACATGGTGCCCATTTGACCAACATCATCCAAATCCCCAGTACAGAAAACCTATGGAAATCAAATGTGAAGGGAAGAAAAGAAGAGAATGGGGGCATTTATTTCCTCCTGGACTTGCAAGCCTGATGGCTTCTAGGCTCCAGGCATGTAGGTAGGTGCTTATTTTCAGAGCTGCTCTGTCTCTTAAAGGATTGGCTTTGGTTGAGGGCTAACATTTATCCTACTACCCCTGCTCTCATTTGTGACCCATCTTCCCAGGCCCCAATTGCACGGCCTCAGCCACCAAAGGCAGATAACTATTTTTTCTCCCTGGCGGAGAGCCCAAGATGAAAGGGGGTAGGGTTGAACAACCTTGAGGAAAGGCAGCATCAGCTTGAGTGAAAACCCTGTAAATATTTACTCTGATGTCAGATAGAGAAGGAAGGAGGCAGGGAGGGAGGGAGAGGTGGAGGGAGTCATCTTCATCTGCCAGTGTGGGGAAAAAAGATGAGACATAGCTCTCTGTCTCTTAAACACCTGGGATGTACTTTATAGAGTCACGGGGAAACTCCTACCTTCTCACCTATAACCTTTGGAGGATAAGCAGGAAACAGATGAGATGTTCCAAGAGGTGGGCAAGTGGGACATGGGGGATGCCCTGAATGCAGCTGGGTTAGGGATACAGCCATTGCTGCTGTTACCATAGGCTAAAAGTGAAGGAACTTGGAAAATGTGGCCAATTATTTCTTTAAATCGTCTGCTCAGCTGAAAGCACTTTTGAATGCCCTTAGGGGTGATTCCAATGAGTACCTAACCACCGCAAGTACTAGAGTGATTGCCGGGGTGGGGATGGGATGGGGTGTGTCCAAAACCAGAGAGGGTTCAGGAAACAGCTCTTCCACAGATGTGACTGGAGTCAAGAAAAGCAGTAACCAGGATGTGGCAAATGGAGCTTTGCCCCGGGGCACCAAACTTCTTTGCTCTGTATGTAAGCAGAGCTCCTAACACTGTTCTTGGGCAGGGGATTTGATGGGATGACACTTGGAGGTCTGAGGTTTTGCTAGGTTAAGTCCTTTGTTCATCCAGCGCTATTTTTACTCCTAGAGTGTCTTGGGAAGTGTTCCAATGCAAACCCCGAGGCTAGGGGCCACCTGAGTGGCCTGTTCTCCTACAGCTCTGGGAACTTTTCTCTTGCAGCCCCTAATCCCTGGAAAAACCTAAAACTCAGATTTTTACTAGGAAATGTTGTCATCACGTCACTGGAGTCAACACATGCTGATCTCATTTTTCAATACCAGCCTGTTCACTGCTTCCCAACTTTGCCAGGATGTACTTTGCTCAGAAAGGATCAATTGCCTCAGTTCCATCCTGCCTACCCCCCTTGCCCTGACCTAGGCTGCCTGGCACCATTTTGTGAAGTCAGCCAAAACCGCGTCTAATTAATTCTTTTCCATCGTGGGCTTTGGGGAGGAACAAACAATCTATCTTTGGAGCATTGAAGCTGCCAAGGGGTAGCTAGCCTCTCCCTCTCCCTGTATCTGTCTCTCTCCTCTCTGCACTTATTGAGGATTTCTACATGAAGAGTGAATGGTTCTTTGTTCTGTTTACCTTCAGAGAACATGGGGCCAGCAAACTCCATCTGGCACCCACTCCTCTGTGTCTTCTTTCCTTTCCATGGAAGATGCTTCTTGGGGTCACCACAAATTACCCAGTTGTGGGGATTTTACTGGGATGTCCTGAAGCATCTTTGCTTTTCCCAAGGAAATACACATTCTTGCTTTTCTATTAAGCTCAACCTCAAGTCTATGGTTTTCTAGGACTTCAAGGTAGTGAAAATAATGGTGACAGTCCCAGAGGCTGGGGTCTAATTGGAGAGGGTGATGGACAGTCACTGTGTCAAGGGAGGGTCTGAAGAATTGTAAGATAATAGATTTAGAGCTGGAGTGTACGCTGGGAGATCGTCTAGCTCAATCTCCTCATGTTATAGGTGAGGAAATAGAGGTGAGTGGAGGTTAAGTGATCTGCTTCAAGGTCACAAAGGTAGTAGATGACAGCTGGGACCTGAGCCAAGCTCTTCGGACTTCATGTTCAGGGCTCTTTCCATGGTACCACTTTGGTATAAGGAAAAGCTTCCTCTCAATTAGAGCTATCCAGGAGTAGAATGGGCTACTTCCGGAGGACCAGTGGGGTCCTCCTCGATTGAGGTATACACATGAAAGCCAGATGGCCACCTGTTGGAGATATCTTAGTGGAAATTCTTGGTCAGGTATGGATTGGTCTAGATCAGGGGTTAGCAAACTGCAGTCTGAGAGCCAAATCCAGCCTTCTGCCTGCTTTTGTATAGCCCGCAAAGTAAAAATGGTTTTTCACATTTTAATATTCGACAAAACTTCATTTAAAAATGTAAAAATCATTCTTAGTTCGTGAGTCATATAAAGATAGGCAGTGGGTGGGCTTTGGCCCTCAGGTTATAGTTTGCCAACATTTGGTCTAAATGGTCTCTGAGGCTCCTTCTAACCCTAAGATTCCATGGTTCTGATGAATGGATAAACATCAAGCTAAAGCAAGTGTCCAGTGGAGGGCTCAAGGTCTCTTTCCTCAGCCGTGTTTTGTGCGACATCTTTGTCAATAACTTGGATATAGTTTACCAAATTGCACATGACATAAAATTAATACTAATACTCATACCAATACTAATACTGATACTAATACTAATACTAGGGCAGCTAGGTGGTTCAGTGGATAGAGTGCCAGGTCTAGAGTCAGGAAGATTCATCTTCCTGAATTCAAATCTGGCCTCAGACATGTAATAGCTGTGTGACCCTGGCCAAGTCACTTAACCCTATTTTCCTCAGTTTCTTCATCTGTAAAATGAGCTGGAGAAGGAAATGGCAAACCACTCCAGTATCTCTGCCAAGAAAACCCCAAATGGGGTCATGAAGAATTAATTATCACTGAAACGATTGAACAACAATCCTAATACTAATCCTGGCAGATAGTGCAAGGACTCTGGTTTTGAAGTCAGAGGATCTGGGTCACAGCACAGCCCAACCTCCTGTTTCATACTATTCCCTAGTGGTGGTTTCTGGGAAATGAGAATGTATCAATCCTGATGTCATTCGGTCAACAACAATTTTCTTGGTCAGAATTGCAGAGTATAGAACCAGAATTGGAAGAGACCTTAAAAGATCATGTAGCGCTGGATCTTCTTACCCCTCAATAATGCCTCTGCCATGGTGGTTCCTTTTTCCCACTGGTGACTTCCTTTCAGGCCTCCATTTTGGGGATGATGGACTCAGACTGGCCATGCTTCATTCCCCTCCCAGCTGGGCTTTTGCCCCTATGCCCTTTGAAATGATGCCCTCACTTGGGCACCCCTCCAGCTCCTTTTTATGTGTTGCCTTTCCCCATCAGAATGTAAGCTCCCTGAGGGCAGGGACTTTTTTTTTTTTTTTTTTTTTTTGCTTTTTTACTTGTATCCCCAGGGCTTAGCACAGTGCCTGGCACATTAGTAACTGCTTAATAAATGCTTATTGACTGACTAACTCACCAAAGAACCATTCCCATCTAAGACATCTTGACAAGTAGTCATCTAGTTTCTGCCTGAACACCTCTAAGAAGATCAGTTTTTAAACAATACCTTGTTCTGATGTAGTCTCAACCATGTACCTTCATTGTTCCTCATTCTTTCCATCCTCACTGTAAAAAGGAGACCTCAATCCCCAGATGGGTGGTATTCAAACACTAGTACAACTGGTGGGTTCTATTCTAGTGTATTTTTTTCTCTGTGCTACCCTAGCTTATCTCTGCTACTTGGTTTTGGACTGGGGGTGATGGGCTCCCTCCGAAGAGTGAGGGCCAGGTCTAGGGAAACTGAGAACCTGACTGATCTCTTAGGTTAGGGTTTATGTGCTTGAGATGATGAAGAACCTGGAACTGGGGAGAGACGGTCATATTCTTGACCTCACTCTATCTCCAAAGGCTCTTACTTCTGCTAGCTATGTGACATTAATCCATGAGAACCTAAGCTTCTTGAGGCTAGGAGCCATGCCTTAGGAAATCTATATATCCTCTCTCTCCCCCCTTTTCCCATTTGTTCTATGTAGCTCTGAGGGCAGAACTAGCAGCAAAGGGTAGAAGCCATAGGGAGAAAAGTTTGGGTGCAAAATAAGTAATGAATGGCCACTGAGGTAGAGATGTTCAGTAATGGATTGGGCTTGCCCCTTGCACATATTCAGAGATCCCCCATTGGGATGAAACAGAAAGAATTCAAGTACTACCAAGTATGAGGTTGAATTAAATGACCAAACAATTACCTGTGGTCATATACACAGTCAGTATGAGGTGGGGCCAGGTCTCAAACCCTGGTCTTCCAGATTCCAAAGCTGGTCCTATTATCTATTCTGCCATGCTGCTCTCTTTTATAGATGAAGATATTGAAGTCTGGTGATAATTAAATGATTTGTCCACCAGGGTCCCAGAGCTAGTAAGTGTCAGAGGTCAGAATCTGCACTCAGGTCTTCAAGCTTCTGTGAGTATCTGGCTCATCTTGAATATGACGTGCCGGAAAGCCTTAGATAGAGTGGGTCAGGACTCACCTTCTGCGCTCGTCGCTTGTCAGCTCTCTGATTCTGGTGGTAAATCCGGCTGAAGTTGGAGACGATCACGGGGACGGGCAGGGCGATGACCAGGACGCCGCTCAGGGAGCAGATGGAACCGAAGATTTTCCCTGCGATGGTCTTGGGCACCATGTCCCCGTATCTAGGGATGAGAAAGAAACAAAGAGGCGCCCAGTGGAATTAAATTAGTGCGGCCTCTCTGCCCCCTCCATCTTGCCACTCCCCCTTTCCACAGCCGCGGAGTGGAGGAAAGGGGAGCTGAGGCTCTACTCTCCCAACAGTGATTCTTCTACTAGGAAAGGAGGAAGCAGTGGCCAAAATGAAGGATTTGGGTTACCATGGATTCAAGTCATACCGCTTCCCTATGGCCCTGTGTTCGTGGATGGTAGAATCCTACAATGTTAGAGATGGAAAGGACCTTGGAGGTCATGAGTCCAGTCTAGACCCAGACAGGAATCTTGTCTGACCTCCAATGATGAGAAGCTCACAGTCTCTTAAAACAATCAATCAACCAATCATTCAACCAAAAAGCATATAGCCCTCATCCCAGTCCCCGCTCACCAAGGTTTACAGTGTCCCCAGTTCCTTCAACTGATACTCAGCTAGGATAAATTCAAGAGCCTTCATCATCCTGGTTGTCCTGGTTGCTTGTCCACTCTCCAGATCACCAATGTCTTACCTTAAAATGTAGAGCTCAGAACTCCACATGATATGCCAGATGGAGCATACTGGGACTATCCCTTCCCTACCCCTGGACCCCCACCCTTTCTCGATGCTTTCTTGGCAGCCCATTTCACTGCTTTTAACAAGTCAAAATGTTTCTTTTTCAACTGCCATAGCAGGATAAGGGATGGACTGTGCTCTCAAGTTTCTTGTCTCCTGGCATTTGCAATCCCGAGAGGCCTTTCTCCAGACCCTTCCGGGTTTATCTCTTCCTTTCTCTGAGCGACTCTAGTATTACTGGCTGTAGAATAGTAATAAAAAGATAATAATAGTTACTGTTTGCAGAGGACTTTAGAGTTCGCCTAATGCTTTTGAACTTCATAACAATTCTCTGAGGTAAGTATTTATTATCCCCATTTTACAGATCAGATAACTAAGATTAAGGGACTGACCCAGGGTCACCCAGTGTCTGAAGTAGGAGCTGAATTCAAGTCTTCCTGTCCCTGAGTTGGGGACTCTATCTACTACGCCATCTTCCAGCACATCTATACGGGAAGGAACCTCAGAGAGCTTTTGGGTTGTATAGTTGAGGAAACAAACCCAGAGAAGGAAAGAAATTGGCCTAAATTCACATGTCAGTTCATGGCAGAGCTGGCGTTAGAACCCAGATGAGCTTGTTAGTGAACCTCTCATATGTTTCTGCTTTCTTGCATCGCTATTGTTAGATCATTGATAGTAAGAACTATTCCCCATGCCCCTTGGAATCCTCTACCATACCCAGTACATTGTGGCTTGAAGCCAAGAAACCTGAGGTCAAATCTTGCCTCAGACACTAGCTGTGACACCATAATTACCCATAGCCTCAGTTTGCTCATCTGTAAGATGGGGATAATAAAAGTGTTTCCCTTCTAGGGTTATTGTGAGGATCAAAAGAGGTAATATATGTAAAAAAAAACTTTAAAAAATCTTGAAGTGTGATATAAATGCCAGCAATTATTTTTGATTAGATCTGATCTGTCCTTAGGGCTTGCTGGGCTGCCCCGCTGATTGCTTTTGTGCCCCTAAGAGTTAGGGTGGGAGGTCTCAGGTGGAGGTTCCAGCATCTGGGTCTCTTGGATTGAAACAGGTTTCAGCAATTGCCTGGATTATGGAGAACCATGAGAGATGAATCTCTCGGGACCTTTCCTGGCATCTGTGACTCCACATCCAAGGGTGGTCAAGGGCCAGGCCGGGCTCCTTGCAGAATGGAGTGAGGCACGTGCCCAAGGCTCTGTCCATTTAATGCTCTGCTCCATTTAATGTGCTTTGCCAGAGATCAGAAAGGAGTGAATTTCTGGAAACAACCTCCAGGGGGTGATCTTGAGTCCTAGAGACACATGGGGTAGGGCAGATGATGTCCTCCACCCCTATGCCCTCTCCCTCTTCCCCACTGAGGGACGGGCAGGAAGCTATTCTCCTACAGAACAGAAAAAAAAATTTTGGGTCTCCCTCTCCATGCCCTTTCAGTCTAAAGAACAGCCTGGCAAACCCCTTCCTGAAGTTTTGATTGGTTAGAAATTCACACTTCAGCAATTGCACTGGGGGCCCTAATCTCCTGTCTCTGCTCTCATTAGTACCTCCCTTCTAATAAATAAAGCTCTGTCCCAGCTATTAAATGTTATTTAGCCTTCTCTTTAGGAGATAATTTAAAGGCCTTTGTTAAGCCAAGAGTTCTGAAGCCTCCTTTCTCCAAGGACAGAAACACTTTTTTTTCCCAGCCCCTCTGTCAACTGGGTGCCTAGAAACAGAGAGGACTGAGACAACCATTAATCATGAAATTATCACTTTGAGATCATATAGCTTATTTCTTCTATGAAGGCTTAAAGGTACTTATCCTGAGATACCATCCTCCCAGGCTCCCAGGTTAGCAACCTCAGCATTATCCTTTTCTCTTTACTTTCCCTCTCCCCCAACGTGTCCTGCAGTGGCCAAAATGCACAATTTCCTCTTCCCCCTCTCTTACCATCCAATCTCTTCTCTCTATGCCGTGGCTACTGCCTTAGTCCAGGTCTTTTTAATGCCTCCCCTGGACCCTTGCAATGGCCCCCTAATTGATCTTCCTGCCTTATTTCTTCTCTCTCTAATCCATTATTCATACAGCTGACAAAATGATTTTCTTTAAGCCCATCTCTGACCATGTCAACTCTCCCACTCAATAAACCCCAGTGGCTCCCCATTACTTCTTAGGCTAAAAATCTTAACTCTTCTGTTTGGCTTTTAATGTCCTTCAAAATCTATGCCCATCTCCCTTTCCAGCCTCGTTAGACATTACTTCCCACACTACCGTCTAGCCAAACTGCCCTTCTCCCTAGTCTTCATATTTAGCAGTCATTTAATCAGCTATTAAGCACATAGTATGTGCCAGGCACTGTGCTAAGTTCTGGGGATACGAGGAAGGGTGAAAACCTGGTCCCAAGTCTCAAACAGAATGCGATCTTATGGACCACAGCCCCCTTTGCATGGCTATATGTCCCCTGTGCCTGGAATGCACCCTTTCCTCTTCTCTGCCTTATAGAATCCTCATGGCCCCCCTTCCCTCAATTTCATATTTATTTCATATTTGTTCTGTATATTATAAGTGTGTGTATATGTAGATACATATATATATGTATATGTTGTACATCTATAGAATGTAGGTTACTTGAAGGTAGGTCTTTCCTTCATCCTCAGCACCTAGCCCAAGGCACCTCACATATAAAAGATGCTCAATAATAGCTTGTTGGTTGTGAGAAAACTCAGAGATCCTGGGGTTCCAGGGCTTGTAGAGGGGACTGGAGATAGGCTGGAGTGATGGCCAAGACAGGCAGACAGGAGACCAGACTGAGGAAAGATTCTCAAAGGTGAAAATTTATTGCTGTTAAGTTGTTTAGGTCATGTCCAACTCTTCGTGACCCTATTGGGGTTTTCTTGGCAGAGATACTGGAGTGGTTTGCCATTTCCTTCTCCAGCTCATTTTACAGATGAGGAAACTGAGGCAAACTGGGTTAAGTGACTAGTCCAGGGTCACATAGCTAGGAAGTGTTTGAGGCCAGATGGGAACTCAGATCTTCCTGACTCCAGGCCTATTGCTCTATCCATTGCACCACCTAGGGCTGTAGTTAGGTGGATACAAAATGACCCCGTGGAGAGAGCACTGGATTTGGAGTCATAAGGCCTAGGTTCAAATTTGAACTCTGCTGCTTATTGTATGACCTTAGATAAACCAGTTAACCCCTCTGGGCCTCAGTTTCCTCATCTGTAAAATGAAGGAATTGGATTAGATGGGCTCTGAAGCCCCTTCCAACTCTAGGAATGTCAGGTGGAGGGGGCTATAGGTACAAAGGGTTAAAGTCTGCCTGCTTTCAAGTCCTGAATCCTGTGCCATCTCTTCCAGGACCTTCTCTGACTTCCTCCCCTCCAAATGGTAGTGGTCTTTCTTTTTATGGCACTTTATTTGGATACTTGGAAACTTCCTTTCTACTTATCTGTGTAGGGGTAAGAATGTTTAGCTTCCCCTCCCTCAACATTAACCCCCTCTCCCATGAAACTTAGGTTCCCTGATGGCAAGGTCTACGTCCTCAATACCTTTGCGTCTCTAGTGCCTCACATATGCTAGGAACTTAGCAAACAAAGGTTTGTTGAATTTTGGATTGCAGGTCTGAGCCTCCTCTGACTGGTGATAAATCATCACATTTGGTCCTGACAGTTATTCAACTTGGTGCCTTCAACTCAGAGCCCCACAAGACAAAACAGAGTCAACAAACCTAATCTGGGAATGGCCTTCTTCCCTCTCCCCCTTCTCCCAACCCAAGGGAAGTCAGGACAGACTTTTGATAGTGATTGCATTTGCTGCTGCTTTTTTTTTTTAACTTAGATGCCAGAGCTGTGCCAAGGTGCCCCCTGGCACCAGGTCTGGCAAGGGGGAGGACTTCCGGGGAGATGTGGTGCCCTTTTTGGGTTGGGAGAATCAGATTGAATCCAGTCCAATCAGTACCTATTTGGAATAAGGTAGTGTGCAAACAGTGGCCACAGACAAAATGAAAAATCACCCTGGCCATTCAGGTACTTAAAGTCTAATGGAAAAGTGAGATTTCTGCAGGGTGCTATCCCTGAAAACAAACACAGCCAAAGCCTGTGACCACAAACATCAGCAAGGTGAAAATTTCTGTTTAACAAAAAATTTTCCAAACAACTCAAACAGAAAACTTGTTTGTTACAAGCCAAATTCTATACAACCAACTACGACCGGAGAATGTAGAGTCCTCTGGGACTGGGTGAAAGGGATTTTGAGCGAAATCAGTCATTTTTCAGAAGCCCAGTTTTATTTAGTCATGAAGTGGCTCACTCCCTTAGAGATCACCTTTGTTTTATAGATGAAGAAACTGCAGGCCAAAGAGAAGGGATGACTTACCCAAGCAGACCCGGCTAAAACTTACAATAATGACCTCTGCATGTGCTCAT